TATGCGTGCAGTTCGTGCAAGGTGAAATTATGCTAATTTCAATCACCATCATCCCTCTTTTTAATTTTGAAAAAAACATCTCAGACTTCTTTCTGTTTCTTCGAAACTTCAAAATTAGTTTCACCTCAGTTTTTTCTTTTTACCTTGTTTTGTTTTAGAGAGAAAAGCGGAGAAAAAACCTTACAACTAACCTCAATAAATTTTGTTTACATGCGGTTGCCGAATTTGCAACGCATGGCGCGAATCACCATTGCGCGTTGCACCCGAGAAGCAAAGTTTGAAGAAGTACAACGCCACTATATCAATATATATATCAATCTAATTTTTTGTTATGTTATATAAAATTTATCCTCCTTTAACATATGTAAAAATTGAGGTTAAGAAGTGTTAAGCTTTTGCAAACGAAACGGCGAAAGACGAGTAAGTGATATTTAGTGGAAGGACGAGGTATTCAACACTTTCAAATTAAACTCAAATTTTGGCATTATACGACCAACAAGTTTGACTTATAGATGTACAGACACAAACGTATAAAACTGCTATTGATATTGTTATGAAACGAATCTATCTATTTAACATTTCAGCCTGGAATTACAGAAAGAAAATAGGATTTCCGGTTTGCAAAAAGGAAAATTTCGCCGGCCTTGAAGCGCACCGGAAGCGCGGAAAGAGCGCTCGTGCCAGTCCTACTCCGCATCACACATTAAATGAAGAGCGGAGCGCTCGTTTCACCGCCCAACATTTATCCGCCCTGCTTGACAGTTTTGTCGTTGCGCTCCCGACCCAAACTGCCATGCTACGCGGGCTACATTTCGTAGGGAAACCAAAGGTGGCGTCGCTAAAAGTCGGCTTTTTTCTCAGGTTAGAGCCATTTTCGTATGACCTTGAAAAATGGTTTCGGTAAGTGTTCGTTATTTGTTTTATCAGCCAATGAATGAAAAGATCAAAACATGGCCTCTTCGTTTTCCCGCCAAAGAAAAACTTATTATGGAGAACTTACCGTTCGACTGGCCAATCGTGTTGCAGTATGACGTCAAAGCGAAGTAAAGGATGATTTCTAGAAAGTTCTCAGGCATGAGGTTTTTCACCCGAGCGTTCGTTTAACCAAACAAAAACCACGCGCGTTTGTATCCGTTCGATAAACCAATCAAATCGCTCTATTGCCGTTCGTTTGTTGTTTCTGTTTTGTTCGCAAGTTTTCATTTAAAGGTCATACGAAAATCGCTCTACCTAGCTTTCTGTTGCTTACCATTTTCTTTGGTGGAGTCATCCACAGCCAAGCCAACGGTAACAATGCTATCATTTGTGTGGGGAAGAAATGCCCAGTCTTGGTGCCACTTGATTCCTGAGGAGCCGTCTTCCCCGGGGAATTTCATGTGAATTTTTTCTTGCATTATGTAACGGATCGAAGGGCTGTCAACCTATTTATCAAAAGGAAGTTCAAAAAGATGAAAGTGAAAGAGATTAAAAGGGTGCGTAGTAAAAATGTAGGGGTCATATGACGCACTAATTAATAGACATGATCCTCATCATAAAGCGGGATGCTACCTACGTTAATTGCCGTATAACTAAGAAACGGGAGCCGTAAGAAAAGCTGACAGAAATTATGAAAGGGAAATTTAATAAAGGAAATGGGAAATTTTAGTCCTTGAATGGGATTTGAATTGAATAAGGAGACCATCGGTGACAAATTGCAAACTTTTTTAATTTCTGCCAAACTTAATTTAGAAAAAGTGGAAATCATTCTGCTCAATCGGCAGTTATGCCAGTCTCCTACTAAAACCCACGAAAACTCGTCCTCTATCTCTTTCACAGCGAGAAATTGAAACTGATTCCGTTCCTATTGCATTGGGCCTGGGTACAATGGGAGAAGGCATCGTTGGTGTAACGGTTCTCAAGTCACAATTTGCAACGACAATTTTTGAAATGGATCAGCCCTGTCGTCATGTAGCGTCGTATGAGGGGTTATATTACTGACACTTTGTACTTGGAATACCTATAGGTCCTTGATGGGAAATTTTGTGCTACGAATACTGCCTTTACGATACACAGTTAAAGCCAGCAGCTGACTAGCGATGACAATGAAACTTGCATACGTTTACTATCTGTGACATTTTCTATGAACAAAAAAGAAGGTAATATTTGTCATGATAACTTCAAAAGCCTGTAGCGACACATAAAGGTTTTCTTACAATACAGATGTTTATAAAATATCAAACACCCCTTATAAGTTTGTGAAAATATCTAATATGCTACGCCCGATCGTTCTGATTGGCCAATGAAAAGCCTATCATTCATAACTGGTTAGTAGGTTGTTTACCATTTGCAAAATGTCTCCGGAAGATCCGGTCGGAAAGTTAGGAACATGACTTTTCGGGTCGTTTTAGTGGAAGATTTCCGGGACTCTTGATTTCCTGGTCGGAATGTTCCAAACGGAAATTAGTGTTCCATTTTTTCAAAGCCGTCTTTGATACCAGTTTCAGCGTTTGCTTGCTGCCTC